TCAGTACCATTTTTGGACAAATGCCAACCAAGGGGTAGAAACAGGAGGCTTTTAGAATACCTAGGAAAGCTTGACATTGTATTTTCAGAGTAAAGATGTGTGAATGTGTGTGTGTGCCCATGTGAGCACATGTGCAGATCCAGGACTGTAATGAAATAGAATCTTCCCCAAAGGGGTTTGCAGTGGATGCTGTGACTAATACATTCACTGATGAAGATGCTCTTCCACAGTTCAGACAAGTAAGAGCGAATTATGAATCTTTCCAGAAGAAATTCATTTCTAGACACCTCCTTACCCTTCAGATCTCCATCGCCTGCCCTAGAGTCTTAGCTGAATAGCATGAACCTGCATCCATCCACATATATTTATACATCTGGCTTAGAGCCACAACAGGGAAGAATGGACAGCAGGAAAGTACTTTCACTTTCTCAGGCCGAGAGAGTCCTTTGCCTCCATCCCAGCCTGGATCTTACAGGCATCCATTAAAGAAAACTGCAGGCATTTCTGCAACTACATATGAATTGTGTCACATCTGTATGTACTAGAAGGAGTTCAAGGGCATCAATATTCCTATTGTAATAATCTGCCCAGTGCCAGCAGCCTTACTTAAACCTATAGATCCTAAGGAATAAAGATATGCACCAGCCTGGGCAACATGGTGACACCCCATTTCTACAAAAAATACAAAATTTAGCCAGGCATGGTGGCAACTGCCTATAGTCCCAGCTACTCTGGAGGCTGAGACAGGAGGATGGCTTGAGCCTGGGAGGCAGAGGCTGCAGTGAGCTGTGATCGCTGCACTGCACTCCAGTCTGGGTGACAGAGCAAGACCCTGTCTCAAAAAAATAAAAATGTGCATAGCTACATAACAATATGCAAATATTCTTTAGGGGCATAGAGAGCCAAGAGAACATACAGAGACTCGTTCTCTCTCATCACACACACACACACAAACGCACACCCCTCTCCACTATAATTATAATTATTATGTTGGCTTCCAGATCAGGGTTTAGAGCCTTGGCATGGAGATGCCTGAAAAACACCCAAGGCAATTAGTGGTGTCCCTCCTCCACCCCCTACATGCCTTCAGGGGCTTTGCACTTGCTGCTCCCCCTCCCAGAGCACACCCCCCCAGATCCTGTGTGGCTGACTCTCCCATCACATTTAAGTCTTAGCTCAAATGCCACCTCCTCAGAAATGCCTGGCCTGGCTGCCTCCAGGGCTGTCTATATGCTCACCAGCTTTATTTTTCTTTGGGAAACTTTCCATCCCCAGGCATTGTGCTAAACGTTTATTTGTTGTCCATCCTTGCCGGCACTCACTGTGAGCTCTATGAGGCTCCAAGATTACAGCCACATGCCCAGAGCTAGGGTGGTGCCTAGCTCACAGCTGGCATCCAGTCAGTAGCAATGAAATGAATGAATGATCACCCTCCCTTCCTCTCCATCCCCACCCTCTCCTTTCTCTCACTTCCTCTCCCGCCTTATCTCCCCTGCTTCTGCCTGAAGTCTGCTGGCAGGACCAGCCTCAGAAAGTTGTCAGGCAGGGGAGGTGTGTGCTCTGTGCCTCCTCCTTCCATCTCTCTTTCCTGCCTCCCTTATGGGTACCTATCTCTCCTACCTGCAGCTACCCACTGCCAACTCTGGCCTTCTTGGTGGGCAGAAGCTTAGGCACCCCAGACAATCATAGGGAAATGGGGCATTGGAGGGTAGCAGTAGGAAAGGATTCAGTACATGCCAAGGAATGATGAATTGAGTCTCTTCCACCCACGGATGTCCATGTACTTGCAGAGCTTGGGTTCCATCTCTAAAGCAGAATGCCATTCCAGGCACCCTTCAGCACCCATGAGACTCAGTGTCTAGCCTTTCCTGCAGGAGTTGGTGCTGCCACTATGGCGACTCAGCCCCTCTCTTCTCATGATTCATTACCTGGGTTCTTTCTGAAGTGATTTACAGTATCTATTTTATTTTACTTTTCTTGAGATGAAGTCTTACTCTGTCGCCCTGGCTGGAGAGCAATAGTATGATCTCGGCTCACTGCAACTTCCACCTCCCGGGTTCAAGCAATTCTCCTGTCTCAGCCTCCCAGTACCTGGGATCACAGGTGTGCACCACCATGCCCTGCTAATTTTTTTATTTTTAGTAAAGATGGGGTTTTGCCATGTTGGCCAGGCTGGTCTTGAACTCCTGACCTCATGTGATCCACCTGCCTCGGCCTCCCAAAGCACTGGGATTACAGGTGTGAGCCGCTGCTCCTGGCCAACAGTATCTGGCTCTACCCCCAGTCCCACTTGTGTAGCTTAGATAGAGAGAGTCGCTACATGCCAGCCCCGTGCCTGCACCACCTGCCCTACCCCACCCCACCCCACCCCACCTGGCGTGCTCTCCTCTTGCTCCCTCTACTTCTGCTATCTCTCCTCACTGCCCTTCCATATCCTAGGCATCCTTCAAAGCTCCCTTTTCACTTCCCAGGGCTCCACAGACAGACGCCCTTCTCACCTGAAGCCCTCCACCCCTCTGGTCTCTCCATTCAGGTGGCAAAACATCACATACTCCACAGCGATGCCTCTTTTCACCCATTTTCCACTTGACTCCCCAGCAAGATTATAAACTGCTCGAGAGTGGGAGCTTTGTCTTATCCTCAGAGACCTAGTGTGTGTTTTGGCGGTGGGGGGTGGGTGGGGGAGGAGTGGGGGGCGAACTATTTCCTTCTATCCTTCTGTCTTACTCTCAGACTATTAATACAAGCCCTGAGTCTGGCTGTACCCCTGGAACATGTGCCCCACCCCCTACAACACAATGCTACCCCTCCCAGCTAGGTCTGCTGTTTGTTCCTTTTCTGATTGGTGCCAGGCTCATAGACCCCATGTATGTAGAATACAACTTTCCATAAATAACGTCTAACCTGACCTACAATTTAGCCTTTGGGTTTCTTTTCCCCCTGGTGGTAATGGGATTGCAGCCTGGGCTGATCCATTCTGTACCTTCAGGTTTCAGAAAGCAGATCCCAGGTCTGGGCATGGCTTGGAATTCCTGGTCCCCGTCATGTTGCCTTCATGGCAAGGACTTGGTACACACTGAGGAATGGTGGACTCTCTTCCACCTGTGAGCAGCTGTGCACTGGCAGTTTTTGCTTGGGCTGCGCCTTCTGCCTACAAGCCTCCTTCTTTACCTGGAAAATCTCTAAGCAGCAGCCGCTTGGTGAAGCCTTCCCTGACCGCTATCCCTCATCCCCTCCACAGAGCAAATTACTCCTGTTTTGAGTTCCCATAACACTTTGTACAGAACAGCGTGACCTGATTATTGCCCATGCGACCACCAGGATCTGAGTAGCTCAAGTGAGGGGCAGGGCCAGGTACTGAGCCCAAGTGTGGCTATGGGCAAAACACTTAACCCCTTGGTGCTTCAGTCTCCTCAGATTCAAACACCAACCTGGGGCTGGGTGTGGTGGCTCACGCCTGTAATACCAGCACTTTGGGAGGCTCACATGGTTGGATCACTTGAGGTCAGGAGTTTGAGACCAGCCTGGCCAACATGGTGAAACCCTGTCTACTAAAAATACAAAAATTAGCCAGGTGGCACCATACACCGGTAATCCCAGCTACTTGGGAGGCTGAGGCAGGAGAATCGCTTGAACCTGAGAGGGCAGAAGTTGCAGTGGGCTGAGATCATGCCACTGCACTCTAGCCTGGTGACACAGTAAGACTCTGTCTCAAAAAACAAAAACAAAAACCCACAAACCTGGCCCAGAGCCTGTGTCCCCACCCGCTGGACTGCACTGCCTCCCAGGGCTGGAAGCAGGTGTCTCTGCTTCCTACCTGCCCTCATATTCTAAGGCCTGAGACACTCATGAAGCATGGAATTTCTGCAGGTGCTCACTGAGGCATCCTTGGGGGCTGGAGCCCTAGGAAGGAGCTGGCCACTGATACCCACTCATACCTACCAAAGACTTGATGATGATGATGATGAATTCAAGCAGCTTATTGGGAGTTAAACTTTTAACTGAGTTAAAAGTCATCAGGAGGGACCCCAGCTTTCTTTGGGGAGTGGGTTCCCCAAGGTAGGCTGGAATTAATTTAAAGCTTTCCAGCTGACCAGCCCATCTTAGGGCAACTGAAGAGTGACTTTGAAGTTACTCTTTGTCTGACGATGCTAACTCAGCTAGCATCTAGCATTATTAGACACCCTGGGGAGGTGAGACTTTGAGAGAAGTACAGGACGCTAGCCCTGCTTTTGAAGATCCTACATTTTCATCTGAGAGGCATAAAATCCACACTTGGAAGAAGACGAAGCTCCCTTTGAGTTGGTCCTGAATTGTACTCGGCTTCCTGTTATCTATGCCACTACTAAGCAGGGCTTGGCCAGGCTGGTCCTCCATGAATGATTGTCAAATGGAAAACAGAATTAGGAACCAAAGTAGTGGTGTGGACAAAAGGGGCTGGAACCTCAGAGGAGAGAGGATCATGGGAGATGGACTATCTCTGCAACAGCGGGAGAGGAGGCGATAGGAATCCTAAAGAAAGGGTTAGTTATTGGGGGTGCTAAGTGTGGATGGCAGACTAAGGAAGCAGGGACCTGCATGACCATTTGGAGTTAGCAGGAAGCTTGGCAGAGTAGGAGTTGAGAGTCAAGCAGGAACGGCCTCCCGTGTCAGACTGGGAAACCTGCACTTGATCCTGGGCAAGGGAGAGCTATGGAAGGCTCTTGAGCAGGGGAGTGATACAGTGAGAACAGCATTTCTGGAAGCCAGCATGGAGGGCAGGCTGCTAAAAGGAGACAAGGCTGAGGTTATGACAATGCCCTGGGTGAAGAAATGAGGTCTGGGTTTGGAAAGGAAGGGACAAACATGACTTTTCAAAGGAAGACATAATTGCCACAAGGGCCACCAGAGAGCAGTCAAAGGTGTGTCCAAGGTTTGAGCCCTAGTGACCGACAGAAGGATGTCAACTTTGACATAAATGACATCGTGCGTGGTCAACAAAATGAGACCACATCGTTCGGTCATGATTTATCGTCTTTATTAACAACGTCTCTGGACTGGAAGAACAGACTGTTATTTCATAAGCAATATTAACATTGCCATTCTCTGCAAGAAAAACTTTTGCATAAATAACTTAAGTGAGAAAATAAATATGTAACTTAACTCTTTAAAAACCACGACTTTCATTCTTGTGGACAAGTCCCATGTGGAAGGATTGTAAGAAACGACCAGTCCTGCAGGTTTTCGTACAGCATCTGCTTCTGTTTAAAACATTTTTTTAAAAAACAAAACTACACAGAAAGTAAGAGGTTGTCAGGAAATGATTTTCAAAAATATTTTCGAGTGGCAGCTGTTATGCTGTGCAGCGCTCAGCATATGTACAGCACTTGTGATCTTTCTCCCCATGATATTCTTTTAGTGTAAGAAATGCCATCACATGTAAGAGGAGGAGGAAGCTGTTTTCTAGGCAGAAATGTGTCTGTGAGTGGTGGGCAGAAGGTGGCGTCTCAGAAAGATGTCCTGGTTTGGGAGTGTGCGGTGGCTGCTCTCTCGGGCCTGCTAGACCAATCGTGGGACCTTGAACTTCTCTTCGGAAGGTGACTTTAAAATATGGATGTGGGTCAGGGCAGGGATGCTGCTCTTTGGGAAGTTGGTGGGGGATGTGATTTCTATCCCTCCCACCACCTTCAGGACCCTCTCCTCCTCTACCCCAGTGGATGATGTTATTCCTTTGAGATGGAGGGGTGGAGGTAGCCAAACATCTGGGGAGGCCAGGCTGGAAAGCAACGTAGCTTCTTCTAGGGGTTTGTCAGCCAGAAATAGACTCTTTACTCTTTTCCTTTTTCCTGTTTCTCATCTTTGGCTGTCAGATGAGAGCATCACAACTCTGAATTCTGGAAGTGACATTGGCATTGAATCAATGCAACCTCATTCATTTATTCTCTCTCTCTCTCTCTCTCATCTCTGCCCATTCAAAAAGCACTGGAGTGCTTGGAATCATACGCCAGTAGAATCCTAGAGATCTTAAACCCACCTCCACCCTCATTTTACAAAGTGGAAATTGAGGTCCTGTAAGAGAATTGTGGAGTTCAAGGTTACACAGCAAGTTAGTGGCAGAGCCAGGACTAGAAACCACATCTTCAGATGCCCCTAGTCTTGTGCTCTGGGCACACCACAGGCTTTCTGATGGGCAGTGAGGTGCAGGGGGAATCTTATCCAACTTTCTTAACCAGTCCCTGGACTTGTCACACTCCCACACCGCTCCCTTAAACCCCCAGGGCGGTGAAAACGCTTCCATTTCTGCCTCCTCTGAAGTGGGACCAGCAAAAGTAGGCGACCCAGAGGGGCTGTGTGGCTCGGTGTCTGTGACTCTCAACTCCCTTCCCTACCCCGCGGGACCCCTCAGCTGACCCGCCAAGGTGAGCCTTGCCGGTGCCTGGGATGCTGCAGGGCCTGGAAGGTCTGGGCCCCCTGTCCTGGGTTGCAGGCATTTACAATGAAATATAAACAATCAAACCATACGCAGAGGACAGAAACGTGGGGCGCAGGGCTGGGGTGCCCGCCGCGGGGTGGGGCACGGGTGGACTCTAGCAGGCGTTCTCCAGCTCAGCCTGGTTTGCTTTGGTGCCCCAGGCACGGGGCCGCGGCTTCCGGCCCTTCTGTGGCCTCGCGGCCTCGGCCCCAAGTCCTTGAGCTCCGACTGGTTGTGGAAGCGGGTGAGGTGCTTGCACTTGCACGAAGCCACCAGGCGCACCTTGGACGCACGCGGGGCCGCACCGCTGGGACACAGCAGCTGCACGTGCTGTGCGCGGTAGTGGTCGGGATGCAGCAAAAGTCAGACCCGCTCGGGCGCCACCATTTGCCACGTCCGATGGCTTTGGGCAGCAGGCGCGTGGCTGGAGCACACCAGCTCAGTGACCAGCTTGGCGCTGCAGCACAGCCCATCGGTCACGTAGCTGGTGAAGTACAGCTCGCAGCAGCTGTACTCGGACATGTCTGCAGAGAGAGACACGCGTGAGAGTGGCCACCCACCCGGCCACCAGAGCCCTGGCCCAGCCCGGCCCCGCCCCCTCCACCCCAGCCCTGCTTTTGCAAAGCCTGCCTCTCCTGGTCTCCAGAGGCTTTTGCACCTGAGCACCTATTGCAGAAAAGTCCCAGATCCTTTAGAGCTGGTGGAAAGCTCTCCTGCACACCCTGTCTCCTCAGAGCCAAATGACTGCTGGGGTGCAAACAGCAGGGCTCCATCGCTCACTGCAGGTGGCATCCTGGGTAAGTTCCTTTACCTCCTCTTTCTTCCAGTCTGTAAACTGGGCTGCCCCAAGCATTGTGAGTTAATCCATTGCGCACACAATGCAGAGAATACCATTTGGAACATCGAGCTGGAAGCATCGGCTGTTATGTATTATTATTATTCTTCCTCTCCTAGGAGTCCTCTTATGATTTAAGCCACACTTATGTCGCAGGGACCCTGGCCTGGGCAGGGTAAGTAAGTACTTGCCACACCTTCTGCCTGGCTCTGGCTTTTCCCAAATTCCTTTTCCAGCCACTTGGGAGGGGTGAACAGGAGATGGAGAAAGGAGTAGAGGTTACCTGAAGGTAATAAATCAGGGCAGCTGCTGTGGAGGTGACAGAAGGGGAGGTGATTAGGTTAGCAATTCATTAGACTTGAAAGGAATCAAAGGCACAGTGTCCAACCCCCTAGTTATCAGTGACAATACTGAGACCCAGCCACAGAAAAGAATGTGCCCGAAAGGCAGGGCTGCGTGATCCAGACTTCACTTCCCTGGGGTCGCAGCACCTTTTGGCTCCCATAAGAGTGGAGGCTCTGCGTTAGAGCACTGTTGGGAGGCTGGGCTGGGGGACAGAGCTGAGGGCTGCTTTTTACTCTAGTAGAGGCCTGAGCTCTGACCAAAACCTACAGGTGCAGCAGCCACATACATTCACCCAGCTGTCTGCTGGGCACATTTCTTGTTCTGTGTTATTTGCATGGGCACCTCATGGTGATACTCCCTGGGCGGGCGGAGATTGGGTTCGGAGGAATGACCTGATCCCCTGTGAACACCTTGACCATGTCTCCTACGGTGGACTTGGGCAGGAACTCTTTAAATAGCTGGTCCTCATGTGAGTACCAGTCCCCCCCCCCCCAGAGGTTTCATGGGATAGTTCCGATGTGACACAAAAGAATCATAGTCTTCAGACCAAACCAGAGAGGGGCAGAGAAGGCCACCCCACCCTACCCCCACTCTGGAGAGCAGGCACAGCAGGGGAGATGTGGCCACTGCCATCGTCTGGGTTGCTTTCTGGTTTGTGGGCTAGTTTGCACCCTCACCTCTGCAGGGCTGGGATGTGTATTGGGGGCATTTGCCCAGGGAAGGGGGCATTTTGGGGCTTTCCAAGAACAGTGCCCTTAGGTCAGTCACTTCCTCTGCAGATTGTGACTTTGTTTTGAGCATGTGGCTTCCTTGGGGGCCGTGGCGCCTCATGGGAGCCCAGCAAGGTGGACAGCTTGTGTTTGGGTTCCCTACAGCCCTTCAGGCAGTCACTGGAGCCCAGCTGACCTTGCCTAGAAGGGGGGCTATGGGAGGAGGCACCTTTGCCCTCCATTTCAAAGGTGCAGGGTCCTGGCTGGCCTCCCCTGTGGTGGCCCTTTTTAGCACCCCATAATCCCAACACGTTGTGAGGCAGGGAAGGCTGGGGTGCAGGAGCCTGGGCAGTGGGCTTCTCTGGAACCTGGATAATGGCCAGAGGGCAGTGAATCCCTTGGTCTGAAGTGTCACTCCTGTCCCACCAATGGCCCCGTGATTCCTGCCAACTGTAGAAGCAAATGTGCACACTGTCAACTGGGCTTCTCTGTGCAGGCCTGACAGGAACCTGTCAGGGTTCTCCTTTCCTCCTCCCTCCCCTGGAATGAAGCAAGGCTGGGACTGGGGTGGCCACTGAGGACAGATGTGCCTACTCAGGCACAGAGGATGCTGCATGCCCTCTAGGACCTGGACACAGCTGCACCCATGTCAGGGGCTAAACCTGTGCCAACAATGCCCATTCCTTCAAATGCCAGCTCTCTGGGCAGGCTGTGGGCAATGCACACTGCAGGGGTGCCTCTCTGGCCTTCCTCTCCCACTGCTTTGTGGGGATCTGTCCCCAACAAACCCACATACCACGGCTGTCTTGCAGTTGAATCAAACCAGGTTCAAACCTCAGCTCTTCTCCTCACTACCAAGTTTCTGAGTGCCTGGAACCTGTTTCTTTCCCTTCGAGCTGCAGGTTCACCTCCTGGGGTTCCATGATGTGGGCCTGTGTGGTGGGGACAGCCACAGGCAGCATAAAGTCTGGCACCCCACAGTTGCTGCTCTGTGGTTTGGAGGCTCCCTCACCTTGTTCCCTCCCCAATGGTACCAGCAGTTGAACATGGTTCCTATATTCCCAGGAGATTCTTTGAAACCTTTTCTTTTTTGAGCCCCTGAGCCTGTTCTGATGCCCTGATGCCATACCCTCACCACCCCAGCCTCCTCCCTGCCCTGGACTCTCACTGATAGACTCCACCTGGCCTCATGCCCCTGCACCTGAATTCGAAGGCTGCACCAGAGCCATCCTTCCCCCACCTCCAGTCAAAACTGTTCTTCCACCAGTGCTGCCAGAGGCCAGCAGTCTTCACTAGGTCTACCCCAGTTTTCAAAGCCTCCCAAAGAGAAGTTTCTAAAACGACCCCAGGGCCCTTTTACTGAGAATTTTCTCCTCCACCCCATACCTTTAGTCTCAAAAGGGTGGTGGGGAGGCCGCCCTCTATTCTCCACCCGGTTCATGGTCTTGTTCTCCAGCTCTGGTGGGGGCTCAGGGTACTCTCCCAGCTCAGGGATGATTTCTGTGTCATCGTTCTTGAAGGCCTGCCACCCCTGGGTCTCCACCACATGGAAGGCTGCATGCACCAGCAGGCAGACGAGACACAGGGCTAGAGGGAGCTGCATGGTGCCAGCCAGAGGAGGGCATGCAGCCTTCCAGTAGCACAGGCTCTGGTCCCCAGCCGAGACACGGTCGCTTTTTTAAAGCCCCTCTCTGCCTCATGCCAGCCAATGAAGACAGGCTGGTCCCCTGTTTCCCTCAGCCCTGGGGGGAGGAAAAGGGGTGTGCTCAGAGCAAACCCTCCCTAAAGACTTCTCCTCTAGCTCAGCAAACTTCCAAATTGCTACTGGCACTCCCAGGTGACCCAGAGAGAGGGGACGTGTGAGGCTTGGCCCAAGCCTGCTCTCCAGCACCTCCCATGTGCTGGTGGCTGTGGTTTTCAGATATCAAAATGAGCTCCGGCTTTTAATTGTCCCTGGGCCCTCGGGCATTCTCAAAACAAGCTGTGGACCCACTAAACAAAGAAAATATGCAGTTCCGAGTGTTCCGCAGGGCTGAGCCCGGCCTATTCCATTTCTCAGGCCAAGTTCATTTGTCACCTCACCAAAAAATGGCCCAAGAGGTGTCTGTTTGGCCCCCATAGACCCAGCCAGAGGCAGCAAGATGCTTTTTAAGAAATCCCATTTGTCCCAACTCCACAAATCTCAGCATTGACTGTCCTGACCAAGGAAGCCCCTCTTGGCATTTTCTGGAAGGCAAGAGAGAGAACTAGAGGGCCAGAGCAAGGGTGGCTACTTGGGAGAGTGAGCAGGACTCTGGTTACAAGTGGAGGATGTGCTGGTCACTCAGGCTCCCGTGATGTGGCTCACAGAGGAAATCCCAGCTCACGCTCCTCGGGGATCCCGTGCACCGTGACAGGCACTTCCGAGCCAGGAGTCTCACTTTGGCTCACAGGGGGATGGACTGAAGTCATTTCCCAGCCAGGCTGTGGGTGTGAGCAGATAACACCAAATTCCTTTCCTTAGCAAAAGCTAGGGCCAGCATTTTTAGTGCTGACATTTTTTTTTCCTCACCTTCCATCCGGTTACATTTTTCAAAAACAGTTTCCAGTCCTATGTGGGAATCTTCATTGGTGCACACCACAGGTTGTGTTCCATGAAGCCATCCAGGACCTACCAGTCACAAAGCAGCTGAGAGAAATTGCCACATTGGCTCTGCATAGAATGAGGGGCACAGGGCCCCAGGGGCAGGTAGAGGCAGTGGGGAGAAAGGTTCATGCCTGAGGTGCAAGAAGAGAAAGGAGGGCAGGAGGAAGCTTTCACTGAAGACAGATTGTTTGAGGATGAGCAGCTCCTGGGAAGAGGCTGCCCAGATCCTCCTGGTATTTTAACTGGGCAATAAAGGCCTTTGCCACCTGCCTCAACTTGCAAGTGGCTGTGTCCCTCTGCAGCTGACTGTCATCCTTTCCACCATCCATCATCTGACACATAAATGCAGCTGCTCTGACAATTTTACAAGCCAGACAGAAGCCCCCTCAGGAAGGGCCCTCTCTAATACCTGCTTCCTAAGTCAGTTTCCTTCAGGGCAGATGAAAACAGCTGTGGCCATTGTTGGGGGTGATCTATCTCTCCCAGCAGAGCCGGTAGTGTTGTGAGAAGCTGGCCCTCCACACCCCCTCTCCTTGTCTATGACCCTCCAGCCTCCTTTTCCCCTGTTCTGGAATGTGGACTGTCAACCCTCTCGTGGCCAGACAACTGCCTTCTTGCAATGGACTTGCGAGAGAGCAGTTCTGATGCCTGGGTTCCTTGAGAAGACAGGATGGATGCTTAGAGCCCTACCTGCTGTTGGGAGCACCTGGATCATCTGCAGAGACTTCAGGATCCATCCCTGGAACATGTCTGCCACCTGCTGGAGACAAAAGGAAGGGCGATTCTTCAGTCGCAAGGATGGTAAGACTCAGGACTGGGCATGATTTCCTTTCCTCGTTTTATTTGGAAGTGAACTAATATTAAATGAAAAAAAGAAGACTCCAGTGGACTTGAACCTCTAAATGACCTCCATCCCTCTGAATAGCTCAGCAAGGACCTGCTGTGATATCTTGTGCCATTTTGTTTAATGTGAAGTCATCAACAGCCGCTTAGTTTTACTCAGTCCACATTGGCATTGTTAACAGTATTCCCTGGAATTGTTTAGCTGATTCCTATTGTGAGTAGTTTAGGTTATTTCCATTTTTTTCCTCTTTTCAGCAAGGCTACTATGAACATCCTTGTATGGTTTATTTATTTTTTTGAGACAGAGTCTCGCTCTGTCACCTAGGCTGGGGTGCAATGGCACAATCTCAGCTCACTGCAACCTCCACCTCCTGGGCTCGAGGATTCTCTTGCCTTAGCTTCCCAAGTAGCTGAGACTGCAGGAGCATGCCACCACACTCAGCTAATTTTTGTATTTTTAGTAGAGACACAGTTTTGCCATTTTGGCTAGGCTGCTCTTGAACTGCTGACTTCAGGTGATCCATCTCCCTCTGCCTCGCAAAGTGCTGGGATTACAGGCATGAGCCACCGTGCCCAGCCTCAGTAATTTTTTTAATTAAAATTTTAAATTTGAATATAACTGTAAGTTTAAATATACTTGTAAGAAATAAATACAAGCCTGGGCAACATGGTGAAACCTAGTCTCTACAAAAAATTTAAAAATTAGCTAGGCATAGGGTCACACACCTGTGGTCTCAGCTACTCAGGGGGCTGACGTGGGAGGGTCACTTGAGGTTGAGGTGGAGGCTGCAGTGAGCCACCATTGTGCCACTGCACCCCAGCCTGGATAACAGAGTGAGACCCTGTCTCAAACAAGAAAGAAAGAAAGAATACAGACTCCATGTATTCTTTATCCAGTTTCCCCCAACAATAACACCTCGCAAAACTACAGGACAGTATCACAACTAGGATATTGACATTGACACAATTTGCCAATCTTATCCACATCTCCCACGGTGTTACCTGTACTCTGTGTATGCACACGCATTCATGTGTGTGTATACTTAGTTCTTATGCAATCTTGTCACATGTAAATTTGGGGATCCACCAAGATAAATCACAGCTCTGTGACCACAAGTCTTTCTCCTATTACCCACCTCTTTCCCTCCCTCTGTTTCCCTCCCTCCCACATCTAACCCCTGGCAACTACTAATCTAATCTCCATTTCTGTCATTTTTCTTTCACTTCAAAAATGATACCTACATGTGCCGGGCACAGTGGCTCATACCTATAATCCCAGCACTTTGGGAGACTGAGGCAGCTGAATCACTTGAGGTCAGGAGTTCAAGACCAGCCTGGCGAACATGGCAAAACACTCTCTCTAATAAAAATACAAAAATTAGCTTGGTGTGGTGGTGCCCACCTGTAGTCCCAGCTACTTAGGAAGCTAAGGCAAGAGAATCACTTGAACCCGGGAGGCAGAGGTTGCAGTGAGCTGAGATTGAGCCACTGCACTCTAGCCTGGGTGACAGAGTGAGACTGTTAAAAAAAAAAAAAGTTATATAAATGGAATAAATTTGTATGTAGCCTTCGGGGATTTTTTTTTCACTCAGCATAATTTCCTGGAGGGTTATCCAAGTTGTACATATCAGTAACATGTTCCTTTTTTCCCTTTTTTTGGCTGAGTAGTATTCCACAAAGTAAAACAAAAAAAAACTTGAGAGTTATTTCTAGAAGTGAATGCTGTGTCTGAGGGAGTGAAGAGTTGGTGGGTCTGATGAGGGTACTGCAGGGCTGTTTTCCAGAAGACTCGGCCAGGTCCCCGCCCTCGCCCACAACACAGAGGCCCCCATAGGTGGCACTTTGCTGAGGCTGCCGTCAGTCGGTACCACACACTGGGCGGGATCAGCAACAGAAGCCGTCTCAGAGCTGGAGTTTAGGAGTGCGAGTTCAAGATGCAGAGTTGGTTCCTTCAAGGACAGTGAGGAAGGCCTTGCACTTGCCTTCTGCTGGCTGCTGAGGAGCTTTGGCATTCACTGGCTTGCGGAAGCATCAGCTCCAATCTCCGCCTTCATCTTCACATGGCATCCTCTCTGTATTTGAATTTTCCCTTTTTTCTAAGGACGCCAGGCAGATTAGGCCCAGCCTAATTACCTCATCTTAACGAATCACATCTGTAACAGCCCTGTTTCCAAATAAAGTCACATTCTCAGGTACTGCAGCTTATGACTTCAATATATGCATTTGAGAGAAATGCAGTTCAACACATAAATCAGACTGTTGTACTGGGTTTGGGCTGTTGATTTTTTTTTTTTAACAGAGTCTCATTCTGTCACCCAGGCTGGAGTGCAGTGGCCTGATCTCGGCTCACACAACCTCCTCCTCCTGGGTTCATGCAATTCTCCCTGCCTCAGCCTCCCAAGTAGCTGGGACTACAGGCTCCCACTACCATGCCCGGCTAATTTTTGTATTTTTTTTAGTAGAGACAGGGTTTCGTCATGTTGGTCAGGCTGATCTTGATCACCTTACCTCGGATGATCTGCCCGCCTTGGCCTCCCAAAGTGCTGGGCTTACAGGCGGGAGCCACTGCACTCAGACGATTTTTAAAAAATTGAATAGTTGTACTTTAATTTTTAGAAAAGCTGTTTTTCCATGTGAAGATTTATATCTTTTGTTTCTATCGGGTTGCTTCTTCCTATGTTCACTTGCCAAACATTTAATAAAGCAAGGGAGACATGCACTCCCTTTCCAGGAGCTCAGATACCCGGGAAGAAATAAACTCTGCATCCAAACAACTCCACTTTGAGGTAGAAGGTGATCAGTGCCACTGAAAAAACGTTCACATGATTTTTCCTAAAAGGAATTTATTTTTTTCTGGAGCAGTTTTAGGTTCACATCACAATTAAGGGGACAGTACAGCGATTTCTCATGTACCTCCTGTGCTCACACATGTACAGCCACCCCCACTATTGACATCCAGCCACCAGAGTGGTGCATTTGCTGATTGATCAACCTACATGACACATTATTCCCTGAAGTCCGTGGTTTACATCACAGCATTAGTGTTGTACATCCTATGGCTTTGGACAAATGTATAATGACAGACACCTACCATTATAGTGTCACGGATGGTCAGTATTTTCATTATCCAAAAAAACTATGTGCTCTGCCTGTTCATCCTCCCCTGACTTTCCCCAACCCCTGGCAACTACTGATCTTCTTCCTGTACCTTCCTTTTTGCCTTTTCTAGGATGTCATATAGAGTTGGAATCATACCTAGACACAGTCTTTTCAGATTGGCATCTTTCACTTAGTAAAATGCATTTGAGGCTCCTCCATGTCTTTTCATGGCATCAACAGCATATTTCTTTTTAGCACTGAGTAATATTCCAACCTCTTGGCATAGGACAGTTTAGTCACCTACTGTCACCTTCTGAAGGACGTCTTGGTTGCTTTCAAGTTCTGGCAATTATGAATAAAGGTGGTGAAACATGTTGTGCAGGGCTTTTTTGTGGTTTTGTTTTGTTTGAAGATGGAGTCTTGCTGTGTCTCCCAGGCTGGAGTGCAGTGCCGCAATCTCAGCTCACTGCAACCTCCGCCTCCTGGGTTCCAGTGATTCTCCTGCCTCAGCTTCCTGAGTAGGTGGGATTACAGGTGAACACTACCACACCTGGCTAATTTTCGTACTTTTAGTAGAGAAGGGGTTTCCCCATGTTGGCCAGGCTGGTCTCAAACCTCAAATGATCTGCCCACTTCAGCCTCCCAAAGTGCTGGGATTACAAGCATGAGCCATCACGCCTGGCTGTGTACAGGTTTTTATATAAACATGAGTTTTCAAATCATTTGGATAAATACCAAGGAGCATGACTGCTGGACTGTGCAGTAAAAGTATGTTTTGTTTTGCAAAAAACTAACCTGCAAACTGTCCTCCAAAGGGGCTGTACCATTTTGCATTCCCCACCGAAACAAAGAGTTCCTGTGGTTCCACATCTTCACCAGATGCATTTTTTTTTTAAAGGACAATTTTCTTATGGGTCTTCAAAGGAGAGAACAATCTTTTTCCCCTGGGGTGGGTCTGGGATCCTCATGGTAAGATGTGGTGGCTTGTGGACCAGACTTTGAAAGACAAGCCAAATTTGGAAAGTATGTGATGCTCCTTTGACTTCTTGGGATTGTAGAATCTTTGATCCGGAAGGAACCTCAAAGGTCGTCTGGTTTCATTCTCTCCTCAGTTCTGGAGGAGGCCCCTATCTCTAATTAATGGAAACTGAGGATTCTCCTCACCAGCTGCATTTTAAAACAGATTTTGCTCCCACTGGTAGGCAGTAAAAAGAAAATATCTGGGTTGGGAAGGCAAACTTCTGCTTTTAGGCAGTAGCATTGAGGTATGTCCAAATCACCTTGTCTTTATTTGCATATCCATACACAATGGAATGCTTTGCAGCTGTTAAGATGAATGGGGTAGAACTATAAAAAATAACTAAAATATAAGCAAAACAAACAACGATGCACAGATATCTCTATACACACATGTATGCACGTGTGTATGCTTATATATGCTTGAGATTTTTCTGGAAAGATACTTATGAGAGAGAAATTGAAGGTTTGGAACAAGTGACTTTTCCTTATAAGCCCTTTTGCATTGTTTAAGTGTATTACTATGTACATAAGTATTATTTGTAATGAAAATAGTTTTAAAAACACTTTTACCTGTTTTATATTTTAGTGCTCTATTTTAAGATTTCACGTAGAACCATAAAGATTACGTTGTCAGAGGTCTGACAGTGACTGAGTCCAATCGCTTCATGTGATAAAAGGGAGCAGGAACCTCGAGGGGCTTTCTCTGCCCAGACTTCTGTCTGAGGGAAAAGGCACCCACTTTCTCTAAGACTTTATATTCAAAGGAACATAGCACCAATAGTAGAATTTAAGGCATCTGGGGAAGGGGATATATTTGGGGACTGCACATTTGCAGGATCACTCAAATCCCAAAATGCCACCAAGTCATCATGTGAGGCTACCTTGAAATGAACAACCCAGCCCCCTGCTTTCTTAGGAGCACAAATTTTTTTTTTTTTTTTGAGATGGATTTTCACTCGTTGCCCAGGTTGGAATTCAATGGTGCGATCTCAGCTCACCACAACCTTCACCTCCTGGGTTCAAGTGATTCTCCTGCCTCAGCCTCCCAAATAGCTAGAATTACAGGCACGCACCACCATGCCGGGCTAATTTTTTGTATCTTTAGTAGAAACGGGGTTTCTTAGGCTGGTCTTGAATTCCCTCAGGTGAACCACCCTCCTCAGCCTCCCAAAGTGCTGGGATTACTGGTGTGAGCCACCGCGCCCAGCCGGGAGCACAGATCTTACCTCCCTCATTCAGGTGGGCCATTCTACCTAAGAATATTCCCAACAGAACATTTCTGGTACTGGAGAGATGTTCATCGATATCTACTGCATAAACGGGACCATCACGGAACTTGTAACTAGCTCAGGACGGCTATGTTTTAGATGATTATTTTTAAAAAGTTAGAAAAAGCAAATATAAAAGCTAAGCATACAAAACACAGCCTAAAAACGTAAAAGAAAAATCCAACTATAAGAAGGACAAAAAGACAATACCTTTGTAATGTAATACATTTATTTTGGCTACAGTTTTTGTGTTTTAACACTGATTTGTGATACAATGGACATTAAACTTCCTTTAAAAAAACAATTTGGTAGCTCTCCCTTTTCTGTCTAGAAAATTCATTCTTTCACAAACTACCCCAAAATTTCGCAGAGTTAAGAGGCAACCAGAGTTAAGTTTCCAACCAATCTATTCTCTCAACCTGAAATGTCCTCCATTTCCAATCAGGATGAAACCTTGACTTGGAAGGACCATCTCTGTTGGCTCTTCAGTGATTCTTGACATCAGTTCTGTGAAAAAGAAAATTTCCTTCAAGAAAAGCTCATGTCTTCATATTTAAGGTCAGTGCTTTTTTTTTTTTTCTCCATTAAAACAGTAGCATCTTGTGGCACAAAAGGCACCAACATTCCCTTTCCGAACCATCCATCACCATAGTTAGAAGGCAGCGCCACCTGCTGGCCATCATATTATGACTCACGTTACCCATAATTTCCTGACGGTGCTGAATTCCAAGTGGGGATTATTAGAGACCCCCCTCAGGGCCAAAAGGGACCTTAGAGGTCTTCTAGATAAGTCCCCTTATTTGTAGGTGGTGGTTTCAGGATAACTCAGAGGGGTAGGGAAACAGACGAGCCTGTGCAAAGGTATACTGCTTTAAGATTGAGAAGAAAACTATTTGGTGCTCTAATTTTGCCTGGATGGTGCTGTTAGTCAGAGAAAGGGATCAGGTCTGGGGAGGGGGTAGAGGCACCCTGAGTTCCTGTTCCACCACTTCCCAGGGGGTAGAAGGCTGTCCAAGGACAGCTCCCATCCACAACTGGGCATATGTTGGTGCTTACACCAGCATCACTGTATATCACGGCCCCAGCTAGAGTCCCAAAAGGCCCATCCCAGTAGAAAGGGTAAATACAAAGAATGAGCAGCCACTTGGCAGAATGACACAGAGCAGCACACTGAGCCCACAGAGCAGGAGAGAAGCGAAACCATCTGTGCTGTCAGAAGCCTGCATGGGGCCAGGCACGGAGGCTCTCACCTGTAATTCCGGCCCTTTGGGAGGCTGAAGTGGGTGGATCATGAGGTCAGGAGTTCGAGACCAGCCTGGCCAACATGGTGAAACCCCATCTCTACTAAAGATGAAAAATTATCTGGGTGTGGTGATGCATGCCTGTAATCCCAGCTACTCGAGAGCCTGAGGCAGGAGAATCGCTTGAACCTGGGAGTCGAAGGTTTCAGTGGGCCAGCCTGGGCAACAGAGCAAGACTCCATCTCAAAGAAAAAAAAGCCTGCATGGCAGAGGCCCTGGGAGCCGAGGATGGGGGCAGCTCCCAGACTGGAGTGCAATGGCACAATCTCAGCTCACTGAGATTTACATCTTCAACTGTTTGATGAACCACATTATATATTGTAATTATATATTTTTATATTATATATTATATAATTATAATTTTATTATGTATTTATATTAATATATTTATGTATGCATTATATAAAATATATTACAATTATATAATTAAGTATATATTTATAAAATATGTATATTATATAATATATACCTGTTTTTTAATAAAAATATGTATCTATAAACTGAGGTCAGAAGTCGATCCAAGATGGCCCTTTAGGAGCACCTCAGGATTGCAGCTCCCAGAGAAAGCATAGAGGGTGACTGGACACTGCATTTCCACATGGATCTTTATTGCCCACAGACCAGGAGATTCCCAGGTGAAGGACCCCTACAGGTTGCCAGCATGGCTGTTTCAGCCGGTGCAGCTGTTTTGCTAGTGCCGCAGCATGGCGGCTCTCCGTACAAAATATACTGGTCTGGTGGCCCTTATAAGCTGGCAATTGGTGCTCCGGGAAGGCAGATTCGCCCATTCACCTGATTACACAGATCTGAAACCGGGAGACAGGCCAGGAGATTCCCAGGCAGCGCCGTTGTTTCAACGAGCACAGTGGGTCGCCACATAGGAAATCACACAGATCCCGGCGCCCTTTCAGCAGGTGCACTGGAACACCTGGGAGAGAGTCAGCCATTCAACTTAAAAAAAAAAAAAACGCTCTGAGGCAGGGAGCCAGGTGATCAGGCTCAGCGGGTGCCACCCCCAAAGAAAGAAACAAAAAAAACAGCAACTGGAAATGCTTGGGGTTGAGAGTTTTACAGCAAGCACAGCTGAACCCAGGATGGTGCAGCTTGGTAGGGGAGGGCCGTCCACCATTACCGAGGCACTCCACCCCTACGAAGGTAGTCCACCATTGCTGAGGTGGCTTGCCATTGCCGAGGCAACCAGCCATACCAGAGAGAGTCCACCATTACAGAGGCAGGCCACCATTGCTGAGGCAGTTCTAACCACACCCAGAAAAACAGGACTACAGGGAAGCTAAATGGCAGCAGGGTGGAGCTCAGAAAAGCCTCTGCAGGCAGACAGTGACTAGGCTGCCTCCTTGCTGGGCAGGGAGGCCTGAAAAAAAAAGGAAGCAGCACAACAGACACTCTTAAATAAAGCCCTAACTGCCCGGGACAGAGCACCTGGGGAAAAAAAGGTGGTTTATGAGTTCTGCTGCAGCAGATTTAAACGTACTTGCCTAGCAGCTCTGAAAGAACAAAGGAGCTCACAGCTCAACACCTGAGCTCCTATAAAGAACAGACTGTCTCCTTGAGCAGCTCCCTGACTCCCACATATCAAAGAGTCACTTCACAAAAGACTGATCAGACTGACATTTGGCGTGCATCATTCTGGGACAAAGATAGCAGAAGAAGAAACTGGTAGCAACCCTTACTGTTCTGCAGCTGCTGCAGGTGATCCCCAGGCAAGCAGGGCCTGGAGTGGACCTCAGCAGTCCTATTGCAGAGGGGCCAGACTGTTAGAAGGAAAACTAAGGAACAGAAATAACTTCATCATCAACAACCTGGATGTCCACTCAGAGACCCAGTCTGAAAATCAGCAACTACACAGATGACAGGTGGATAAATCCACAAAGATGGGAAGAAACCAGCGCAAAAAGGAGGAAAACACCCGAAACCAGAACACCTCTCCTCCTACAAGGGATCACAAAGCCTCACCAGCAAGGGAACAAAACTGGATGGAGAATGAGTGTGATGAAATGACAGAATCAGACTTCAGAAGGTGGGTAACTTCTGTGAGCTAAAATAACATGTTATAACTCAATGCAAAGAAACTAAGAACCCTGAAAAAAGATTTGAGGAAATGATAACAAGAATGTACAACTTAGAGAGGAATATGAGTGAATTGATGGAACTGAAAAACACAACACGAGAACTTCGCGAAGCATGCACAAGTTTCAACAGCCGAACTGACCAGCAGAAGAAAGGATATCAGAGGTCAAAAAGATCAACTCAATAAAATAAAACGAGAAGAAAAGATTAGAGAAAAAAGCATGAAAAGGAATGAACAAAGTCTCCAAGAAATGTGGGACTATGTGAAGAAACCTAATCTACGTTTGATAGGTGTACCTGAATGTGATGAAGAGAATGAATCCAAGCTGGAAAATACTCTTCAGGATATTATCCAGGAAAATTTCCCCAACATAGCAAGGCAGGCCAATATTCAAGTCCAGGAAATACAGAGAACCCCACAAAGATATTCCGCAAGAAGAGCAATCCCAAGACACAAAATCGTCAGATTCATCAGGGTTGAAATGAAGGAGAAAATGCTATGGGCAGCCAGAGAGAAAGGTCGGGTTACCCACAAAGGGAAGCCCATCAGACTCACAGCAGATCTCGTGGCAGAAACCCAACAAGCCAGAAGAGAGTGGGGGACAATATTCAACATCTTTAAAGAAAAGAACTTTCAACCTAGAATTTCATATCCAGCCAAACTGAGCTTCATAAGTGAAGGAAAAATAAAATCCTTTGCAAACAAGCAAGTACTCAGAGATTCTGTCACCACCAGGCCTGCTTTACAAGAGCTCCTGAAAGAGGCACTATACATAGAAAGGAACAACCAGTACCAGCCATTCCAAAAACATACCAAATGCTAAAAAGCATCAACAAAATGAAGAATCTGCATTAACTAATGGGCAAAACAGCCAGCTAGCATCAAAATGGCAGGATCACATTTACACATAACAATATTAACCCTAAATCTAAATGGGCTAAATGCACCAATCAAAAGACACAGACTGGCAAATTGGATAAAAAGCCAAAACCCAGCAGTGTGCTGTATCCAGGAAACCCATCTCACATGCAAGGATACACAAAGGCTCAAAATAAAGGGATGGAGGAAGATTTATCAAGCAAATGGAGAGCAAAAAAAAGCAGGAGTTGCAATTCTCGTCTCTGATAAAATAGACTTTAAAGCAACAAAGATCAAAAGAGACAAAGAAGGACATTACATAATGGTAAAAGGATTGATACAAGAAGAAGAGCTAACAATCCTAAATATATATGGACCCAATACAGGAGCACCCAGATACATAAGGCAAGTTCTTAATGACTTACAAAGAGATTTAGACTCCCACACAATAATAGTGGGAGACTTTAACACTCCACTGTCAATATTAGACAGATCAACCAGACAGAAAATTAACAAGGATATCCAGGGCTTGAACTTAGACCTAAAACAAGCAAACCTGATAGACATTTACAGAACTCTCCACCCCAAATCCACAGAATATACATTCTTCTCAGCACCACATCACACCTACTCTAAAATTGACCACATAATTGGAAGTAAATCACTCCTCAGCAAATGCAAAACAACTGAAATCATAACAAACAGTCTCTCAGACCACAGTGCAATCAAATTAGAACTGAGAATTCAGAAACTAACTCAGAATTGCACAGCTTCATGGAAACTGAACAACTGGCTCTTGAATGTTGACTGGATAAACAATGAAATGAAGGCAGAAATAAAGAAGTTCTTCGAAACCAATGAGAACGAAGACGCAACATGCCAGAATCTCTGGGACACATTTAAAGCAGTCTCTAGAGGAAAATATATAGCAATAAGTGCCCACATGAGAAGAGTGGAGAGATCCAAAATTGACACCCTATCACCAAATTGAAAGAGCTAGAGGAGCAAGATAAAAAAAACTCAAAACCTAGCAGAAGACGAGAAATAACTAAGATCAGAGCAGAACTGAAGGAGATAGAGACATGAAAAACCCTTCAAAAAAATCAATAAATCCAGGAGCTGGTTTTTCGAAAAGATCAACAAAATACACAGACCACTAGCCAGATTAATTAAAAAAAGAAGAGAGAATACCCAAATAGATGCAATAAAAAAGATAAAGCAGAAATCACCACAGAAATTCAAACCATCATCAGAGAATA